GATTGTTATATTTGTTGCAAATCTGTCACTTAACTGTTTTATCTGGAAAGATAGTAAAATAAGTTCCCCAGCAGCTCATGGCAGCCATTTTCCAAAAAAGATGGGATGAGCATAATATGCCAATCCCTCTGAAGAGGCGATTAACTAAGTAGATATTTCTAATCTAAATGATGCCACATTCTTTTATAACCAGGCATTTAAAGTAGTGTCTTGGAAATGGTCTTGTCCCAAGACAGGACACTGACTAGGTAATGAATTACATTGCTTCCAGCTCTGAGATTCCCATTACTTGGGCCATCGTTGCATGCCTCCAGTTGTTTGCATGAAAGAAACTTGATACAACGAAATGGAGAGTACTCTTGGCTTTTAATTTGTGCTTTATACGCTTGCCATTAACTTTCACAGAAAGCAAAAAAGCAGAAGTAAATGACAACAGGGGAAGAGGAATGTTCATTCAAAATGTGCATTTGTGAATCTCAAAACCAGGCAGTGGTGTGCCATGGAACAGAAATCTTAGTCATCTGTCTTGTCTGGTAACACAAGGCACAGTTAATGTGGCCGGGCCTCTAGTTCTGCTGACAGGACATGTGCTGATAAGTTGTGAAGGCTTGGATTCAGTAGAGCCACATAGAATTACAGGGGTCTTGTGAATGAAAAGCTTCTGCAAGCTTATCAGCAGAAAGATAGCAGAGAGGCCCTGCTTCTATTACCAGTGTTCTGAAGATGTTTATCACCCAGCCTTCTGAGAACAGTAGTTTGACCCATACCAAACACTTCAGAAACAATGTCAACACACCCAAGACCACAGCCAGCAAGGAATTTTTTGAGATAAGATTACAGCTTTTTCCTTAAAGGGATGCCAACCAAGTTAGCCAATCTCCTAATATTCCCTGAGTATAGCAACCCTGTGAGTTGTCCTTCATACCAGAGAATTTTAGAAGCTCAATTTTTATGCTTCCAAATACAAATATTCTGCTGTTGTTTTCTGAAGTATGCCAAAACTCTAGCAATATCTAAGAAAATTCCAGCAGGGTCAAGGCTCAGAAAGCCTGAGATTTGTGCCCATGAGACCAGCCAGTTGTAGCCACTGGAGACAGCTGGCTATTAGCAAAAGCATCCTCCCTCCCTCCCTTCCTCTTTTCTTTTTTCTTTTTCCTTTCCTTTCCTTTCCTTTCCTTTTCTTTTCTCTTCTCTTCTTTTCTTTTCTTTTTTTTCTCTTGCTTTATTGCCCAAGCTAAAGTGCAGTGACATGATCTCAGCTCACTGCAACCTCTGCCACCCAGGCTCAAACAATTCTCATGCCTCAGCCTCCCAAGTAATTGGGATTTTAGTCATGTGCCAGCACGCCTGGCTAATATTTATTTATTATTTTTTTTATTTTTTATTTTTTGTAGAGACTGAGTCCTACCATGTTGGCCAGGAGGGTCCTAAACTCCTGGCCTCAAGTGATCCGCCCACCTCTGCCTCCCAAAGTGCTGGGATTATATGCGTGAGCTACCATGCCCAGCCACATCCTTTCACCTTGTTTCAGGATTTTATTTCTTCTCTGTTGGCTACATGTGGGCCAGAGGGCCTCCCAGGCAGATTAGACCTCTAGTCTACGTCTAGGGCAAAGTCATTACAGGAAAAGGTGACTCAGTCTTTGAGTAGATATGAAAAGCCACTGTCATAATTTGTTTAAATACCTAGACCTGTGTTTGATTTAAATATAGTATGCAAACTGGCACTGTCAGGGGGCCTGTGTGTGGGTGAGGTGGAGCTGGTCAGGTATTCTCCCAAGACCATGGTGATGATGAGAAGCAGCAGCATATCTAGAGACAACTCACCTTTGGTTTGTCCAGATGCTGATGGTTAACTTCTTGCTTTGAGGTGTCTCACATTCATTTCTTTGTATTCCCTGTGCATAGCCATCGTGTGGCTTTCCGGGCTCTAATTCCTCCTGCCCAGAGCTGTGCCATATATAGTTGCCAAGATTAATTAAAAACAAAGCTACAAAAAAAAAAAAGAAAAAAACCCTTTTATCATGTCATTTCCCAGTAGTCTCATAATAAAGTTTATATTCCTCTGGTTTATTAATGAATGTCCTCACTAATCTTTCTATCCAGGTTCTCTTTCTCCAGTAATCTTTATTTCATCCAAAGGATCTATTATTGGCTGTTAACTAACTGTTCATTTTTCCTGCCTCTGTGCTTTTGTTCCTGCTGTTTCTCCCTTTTGGAATTTTTTCACCGTTCTATTCACATGCAGCTCTTCCATTAAATCTTTTCAGATCAATCCTGCCTACACTGATCTGATCCTCCTTTGAACTCTGCTGACTTGTCAGCTAAGTCCACACCAGCCTTCTGGCAATTAATCACATACAGCCTTGTGAATTTATCTTTATTCTGAGTGCTCAATCTTGCTTTTTCATTTTATCTGTCTCTCTCTCTCTTTCTCTCTCTGCTTCTCTCTACTATTGTGTGTGAATGTCTGTGTACACCTAGGTAAGAGGTCTATGAAAATAAAAATCTGTCTTATATATCTTTAGAATAGATGACCTAATTGGTGCTCCATGACATAATTATTACTTCGGAATTCTCACTGAGGATCTTAATTTGCATGCTGTTTCTGTGCTGCTGTGCAGCTTTTGAACATCTGGGAATCCTAGCTTTCTTAATACTAATAGAAACAACAACAGCATACCCAAGGAGTGAGAGCTAGGAAGACATCTGAAATGGACTTAAAGGGCTTTCTTTTGAATAACTCAAAACTGTTCTGTAAAGCCAAAGTAGGTAGATTCTAATGCTGATCTCCTCCAAGTTTAATGAGTATTCAGAAATCAAGGATTTAGGGAAAATTAAATAAAGTTTGCTTGATGTGCTTTTCCTGCATGCCCACATCTTGCCTTTTCTAGCCTTTCTATTCTATCGCGGCAGTGTGGCTTTCCCTAGACTTGCTCTTCCTCCAACCGCATTCTTAACCCCATATTCAGAGGGAGCCTGGAGAACCAGGCTGCCATAGACATGAAAGGGCTCAGTAGTATTGTTTGTTTGTTTGTTTTGAGATGGAGTCTCCCTCTGTTACACAGGCTGGAGTGTGATCTTGGCTCACTGCAATCTCCGTTTCCCAGGTTCAAGTGATTCTCCTGCCTCAGCCTCCTGGGTAGCTAGAATTACAGGCATGAGCCCCCACACCCAGCTCTAGTAGTGTAGTTTAGTGCTCAAGTCGGCTCTGGAGTTCAGATTTCACCTTGCCCCTATGAGCTGCATGTTCTTAGGCAAGTTAACTTTTTAAGTCTGCAGTTTCTTCTGTAAAATGAGGATAATGACAGAACCTGCCTCATAGAGTTATACAGAGAACGAAATGATAATCCACATAAAATGTTTAGGCTATTGCAAGCACATTATAGGATTGAAAATAGTCAATATATGGCATACAGCTTACAAAAAACATGCTGAGATTTAAAAAACAAAACAAACTCTTGATCTCCAATCACTATGCCTTTAAAACCGCACAAAGAATTCTCTGTCCTCCATGTCTTGTTTCTCAAGCCCATGCTCTTGCATCCTCTCTAATTAGGCTGTGGCCCCCTCCATTCCACCACAGCTGCTTTTTTCAAAGTCACCAATGACCTCCATGTTGCTAAGTTTAAGACTTAATTATTAGATCAACTCCCCTGACCTATCAGGCAGCATTGGACACAGATGATTTCTCCCTCATCTGTCAGACATTTTCCACATGCCGCCTCCAGAACACCCCACCCTCCTGGTTTTACTCCTACCTCACTGGCTACTTTCTTGTCCTCTCGTCTTCCTGCTTCTGACTTAGTCCTTGCTTTTTGTCTTTGTCCGTATCCACGCCCTTTGCTGATCTCACCCAGCCTCATGGCTTCCAACCCTGTCTCTCCTCTGACAGCTCCCCAGTTATCTCCAGCTCACCAGCACTTTCTCCCCTGAGCTCCAGACTTGATGGCAAGCTGCTATTCAATTTCTCCACTCAGGCACTAAATGGGCATCTTAAACATGTCTAAAACTAAACTCCTCTGTTCCCTCCCCCAGTCCTGTTCCTCTTAGATTTTTCTGCATCTCAGAAACCCCATCCTAACACCTGAATTATCCTTGACTCTTTCTTCATATCCTGTGCACAGTCTGTCAGCAAATCACATTGGCCCTTCTAGCAAAACATATCCAGAATCTGATCACTTCTAACAACCATTGGGACCACCCTACTTCCCTCACCAACGTCCCTCACTTGGAATAGTGCAGTAGCCTCCCAACCAGTATTCCTGTTTCCACTTGCCCTCAATATAGAAACCAGAATGATTTTTAAAAATATAAGCCAGATTGAATCACTCTGGCTCAGAGTCTTCTAGGGGGTTTTCACACCAGGTGAAAGCCAGAGGCATAACACTGGCCCACCACAAGCTTGTTGACCCACCTCCCGGCTGCTTTTCTGACTTTCTTTCTTACTGTTCCCCCTGGCTTACTCCGTGAGTGGCATTGGGATCTTTGTGTTTGCTTTTCTGCCTAGAATGTCCTTTGCCGGATGGCATCACCACCACCACCATGCCTTGGCTCACATGTCATGCCATGAGACTGTCCCTGACCAACTGTTCAACCTGCACCCCCTCTTCCAACCCCAGCATTCCCTAATCACTTTCCCTACTTTATATTTTGATGTAGCACTTCTCACCACCTGTCATACTTTTCATTTTGCTTATTTTGTTGTTATAGTCTATCATATGTATTTCCCACCAGAATGTAAACTCCATGAAGGCAGGAGTCTCTGTTTCTGCCCACTCCTCTAGCCATAGTACCTGGAATGGTGCTTCATACATTAAAAACTGAGTGAGTGTTTGGCTTTCTTGCTGTTCTTGAGAGGGTTTGCTGGACGGGAGTCTACAGCTGGCCTGGACATTCTGCCTTGTGCCCTAGCTTCCTGAGGATGGAGCTGTCTCACTCCCAGGTTGGTGGCCTGCCTTCACTGCCTCTGACATGGCTGTGTCTGTCCCTTTTCCTCAGATGCATACTCTCATTCCTCAAGTGAGAATGGAGGCAAATCCGAGTCTGTGGCCAACCTGCAGGCCCAGCCCTCCCTGAACTCCATCCACAGTTCCCCGGGTCCCAAGCGCTCCACCAACACCCTTAAGAAGTGGCTGACAAGTCCTGTGCGTCGCCTCAACAGCGGGAAAGCAGATGGAAACATCAAAAAGCAGAAGAAAGTTCGTGATGGTCGGAAGAGCTTTGACCTGGGATCTCCCAAGCCTGGAGATGAGACAACCCCTCAGGGAGACAGCGCTGATGAGGTACTTACACAGGGCCCGAGCTGTCCATCAGGAGGGCCTTCTGACATGTCTCCTTCCTCAGGGTTTTGTGTCTCCATCCCTACACAGGATGAAATGGTAGAACTTCTTTATTTTCTCACTTAAAAGAGCAAGGTGCACTGCGTGATTTTTTTTGTGTATGATGGGGATAGTAATACTCTTTCTCCTATGACCTAGGCCATCTCAAGTCTCCACTAGTGTGTTATCTTGAGACTAAGTGATTTGGATTCTTTTTTATTCTTACGACACTGGCCAGTTTTATTTATGGCCAATCCAGAGACTATCGCTTAGGACATGCAGCAGATAGAAAGTATTTGCCAGATTAGGAGGTAGGACCTGGGCCTGAGGAGAGTCATTTGGTCATTAGTTCCCTACCTCTTCTAAGGACTACATTAAAACCAGCTAGACCTGTTTAGATTTAGAATAAAAGAATGAAGATCATTTCCCTTTGAACACAGGACTGCGCTGGGAGATTATAGCTGTTTTCAAGTCTCTTGAGTAGTGCCGCACATCAAAAGAAACAAACCATCCAGGGTTACTCCAGATAACTATGATGAACAGATGAAGACTACAATAGGCGGGTTTCAGCTCAAAAAAGAAGTTTAATCAGGGGGTCAGTCAGTGATAAAATGGGCCTTCATGAAAACTAATGAACAGGAACACCCACACTGGAAGGCTTGAGAGATGACAGCCAGAGTTGGGCTGGATGAAGCCAAGATTCTGTAACCAAAAGACAGTGGATATGTTTTGGTTTGGGAAGTGAGATGCCTGTTTTATTTGGCACACAAACCTGCTCTAATCACTGATGTGTCTAAGAAATTCTTTGTGATGTGTAAGTAGACTCCCTCTTGCTGTGATTTGATGCTACCTACCATTTCTTCCTCTGGAAATGGCAGCTGAACCTGGCAGCATTTGGGCTATGGTTTCATAGCCCTACAAAAATGGAAAAGTTAGGCTGTCTCTGACTACTTCCAGCTTTCTCTTTTCTTGCTAGTTGATAAGACAGATAGTTTTTGTTTTTGCTTCTTTTGAGGGGTATGTGTGTGTTCTGCATTGGTGCTAGCTCTCCTTTGAAATAAGCAGGTGTATCCATGTTACAAAAGAGGAAACTGCAGATGAAATGATAGGAGTGAGTTGAGAGAGGAATTCTCCTCCTACGTATTTTTTTTTTTTAGTGTAAAGTCCCCAACCATAGGCATGTTTAGCTTATGACATGTAACTAATGCTGCTCTTTTGTTCTAGAAGAACAAGAAAGGTTGGGGTGAAGATGAGCCGGATGAAGAGTCACACACACCCCTCCCACCACCTATGAAGATTTTTGACAACGACCCTACACAGGATGAAATGGTAGAACTTCTTTATTTTCTCACTTAAAAGAGCAACGTGCACTGCGTTATTTTGTTTTTTGTGTGTGATGAGGGTAGTAATACTCTTTCTCCCATGTTATCTCTTCTTCCACGTGAATCCATGGTGATATGAATTGTGTCTCTATTTGGTAGGTGTCCTTTCCCCAACCCTGGAGGACCAACTTCATACTAGGCAGTGAAGGGGGTGTGTGTGTTGAATTCTCAAAGTGGGAATCTCCTGGTGTCTTTTCCTGTTGATAAAGGGTAATGGCTCTGCCTTTGGAAGCAGCAAATCCTAAAAGGAGCAATTCCAGGTAGTTGCAGGCCACAACTATTTTGTCATGCCTGACTGTACAACCTACCCGTTAGTTGTTTTCCCTGTACTCTAACTAATGGTAGCTGCCAATCAAGCCCAGTGTTGTTCAACTTTTGCAGTGACTATATGAGGAAAAGTTTTGACAAAGGTGGGCAAACCTAATATGTGAAATTGCCTGACTTTGCTTTGCAAGATTCCCCAGCTCACTGGTATGCAGAGGCTCCCTAGTATTTGAAATATTGATGCTCCTGTGTCTCCAGTCACCTGGTGATCATCCCAGTTGTTCTGGAGCAGAAGTGTAGGTTAGATGTGCTTCCAGGTACTGACCTGAGGCTTGGGGCAGCTTTGTGTTCTCCCTCACTTGTCACTCAGTGTCCTTGCAGCTCTGCTTTCACATCACTGTGTTTTTCTTGCCTTATTGTTGCTGATTGTCTTAGACTCTGGACGTGGAAGCGTTGGTTTTGGGTTTTGACTGTAGAGCACTTCCCATTTGCTTTCCGGAGTGATGTTTTGTTGCAGTGGTGATGGTGGACGCCTTGGCTTGCCTAGCTGTCTCTCCAGGCTCTCCTGTGTTCTCTAGTGCTCTGCCCTGCAGTGGGACAGCCTCCTTCCAGGAGGTGGCCCAGCAAATATAAGCAGGTAACAAATCTATGTAATACCACGGAGCAGGCATTTCAAAAAGCACCGTCTGTTGATGTGTCCTTTCTGGTGACATCCCAGTTCTTATTTTTATTCTCTCTGATTTGCATTTGAATTGTTAACCCACCACCATTAACTGAAGTCTTCCTTTGTGCTCGGCTGAAAGGACAGAGTCTAGGGACTCTGAGATGTGGCAGCTGCCCTCATCATGTGACTCACCTAGTCGTAGCCCCTCCTAGGTGATGTTAGTGGCCCACATCTTCAGGGCCAGCTCTTTGATTTTGGACTGTTGGGAAGAAACATAGTAGGAAGCCTGGTGTTCTACTGTCCTGGATTCCTGAGGCAGAAGTGCTAGCGCTTCACCTTGAGTTGGAAATGAGACCCTGCCTACTTGTACTGTGTTTTATAAACAGCAGCTATGGCCTGGGGAGTCGGGAAACCATGTCTCACACAGCCCTCCGTCCAAGGGCCCCGCATGCATGAGGTCACCACCCTCTCTCTCCCTAATTCCCTCAAACACAGAAATGGGTGTTACATTGTTTCTGGATAATTTTTAACTGAGAATTCTGACTTGCCCCTATTTGTGTAGCCTTTTCCTTATCCAGAAATGGGGCAGATGGCAACAGTCTCCTTTCAGACACATGAACTCTCCTCAGTCCTGCCTGTTTGATTTCTGTATATTTTTCTAAATGTTTGGGAGTGGGATGAGCCTCAGAGCATCTAGCAAATGGGGTTGATTTATTAAAACAATTTTTAAGATACTGTCAAAGGAATTTTTAAAAGTTCACCATCGTAATATTGTGCAATTGTCTTCTCCATGTTTTCTTCTAATTTTTTTCATATGCATGTATGTTTTACTTTTATAATTATAATATGCATATGATGTGTCCAATGTTGTATTTACTACCATTCCCTAAAATTGTATTACGTTTTTCTTCCTAGCTGTAATTTTAATAGCTGGAGAAAACTTTGCTTATTTGCTGTTGCATAATGTATTTGATCAGCCTGTTGGGGACATCCTAACTGGGTGTTTCCATGGTTTGCTACTATGGCTGATACTGCTACATACAGATCAATGTGTCCATAGAGCATTTGTTCTTTTGACTTTTGTCCTTGGAATAAGTTCCCAGGAGTAGGATTACTAGGTCAAAAAGAGGATAACTTGATTTTCCACACAGACTTAAGCTTTTTCCTGCATCCCCCAAGAGGGGAAAAAGAATATTGTTACGTCTTCCTTAATTATAATTATTTTTCCTTCCATCTCAGAAGCAAAGACTTAAAGTAACTTAGATTAAGCAAAGACTTAAAGAGTTTCAAATACTGCATTTTTGAAACTCTTCTCTAACCTCAGGGACAAATTGAAGGAGCCTATGTCCTGGCCTTGGGAACACCACAGCCTTCTGCTCTGATAAGCTGGAAGTAAAAGCACACACATGCTGTGCAGGGTTAACCATTTCTTCCCCGGTTTCTTCTCAGGTAGAAGAAGGAAGAAAAAGCCAGACAAACAAAAAACCACCATCCCTCAGTGAGCAGGAAGCCCCAGACCATTGACCAAACAACCACACGAACAAGTCTTTCTTGCTTCTGCAGGGGAAGAGGGACACAGGGAGGTCCTGGAGCTGTCTCTTTTTGCTATGAACAGGATAGTCCCTGGCTGCCTCTGGACTCCTGCTAAAGCCTTTTATTACTTCCTAGTGTTCCAGTTCAGGGGCCTCACCAGAGCCAGCTGTGCTTTGTGGAGGGGTAAAGGGGCATGTGGGGGAGGGGCGGAGGGAGAGAGGAAGAGAGAGGAAGAGAATATAGGGAGGAAGTATCTAGCTTGCTGGTCTCTAAGGGTCCTGCCCCTAGCATTTTTGTCTGACACATAATAAAGATCTGCATCTAAGGCTATAGTAAAGCAAGGACTGTTTCCCTTTCTTGGACACACTTGAGGCTTAGTGTATTGAATCCTTCATACCCTGAGACAGCAATGGGCAGCTGTGTAGTGGCCAAAGTCTTGTTTGCCCGCAGAGCAGTAGCCCTTGCCCTGCAAGCTGTTGCTGTCAGCAGGTGCAGCCCTGGCCTGTAGGCCTCCCTGGAAGTCGTTGACTCCTCCTCTCTCCCCCTTTGTAGGCTTGCCTAAGGAGAGCCTAGTCCCATCCATTTGCTGCTGGCTAGATTCCTGACGAGGGGTTGGGCATGCCTGTATTATACCCACACCCATCTCCCTCTGTAATCTCTTCCCTCTAAACAGCTAAGTTCTGTGTTTTCCTTTGCTTCCTGAGCTTTGGACTTTGTTTCAATTCCTGATCACTGTTCCTTATTTCCTTGTTAATCTGCTTTTCCTCTGCTGCCCGATGTCTTGCAGTCCTCCTCTTTGCTAGCAGCCCGGCAGGCTTCCACTGAAGTACCTACTGCTGCAGACCTTGTCAGTGCAATAGAAAAGTTGGTCAAAAACAAGCTGGTAAGTGGGCGTCCTGGAGGCAGTTCTGTGTGTGTCTCACCTCCACGCCGCTCCGGCCTTGCATCTATCTGCCGTTTTCTCCTTTCTACCTGTCCTCGTTCCTCCTGTGTGATTGTTTACAACTAATGATGGTTTCTAAAAAGTTGTGCCCTAGAGACCTTTTTGACTTTCTCTGGGAATGGGCATAGGGAATTAATAGACCATTTGGGGGTTGCAATGTTGATGAAAGTTGAAAAGTATCCAAGACAAACTTACCTCATTGCAAGCCTGATCCAGTGGCCCACAGGCAAGTGGCATTCAGTCAGGGATTGTTGTATGTTTGGTTAGCCCAGAAGCAAGTATGTTGTGATGCTGAGACACAGAACCCACTGACTGGATCTTTGAAAGCACCAGAAGATTTTATCTGAGGACCTCAAGTAGCCTTCCAGCTTGCTCCAAAATCTTACAAAAGTTGACTGCTGATTATAAAGGGGAATGGGCAAAAGTGTGTGGATACCTCAGCACAGTAAATTAAGAGAGCCCTTGGGGGGAAACTGAACATAAGCCACTGGCAGCCTGTCTAGCCTGTGATGGTCTTATGGACCCATCAGCCTATTGGAGGGACAGATGATAAGTCTGAGCAGGTTTGGGGTTTTGGCGTGATGCTGGTGAGAGAGCCCCCTTTTGGATAGCTCATTAGGATAGAGCTGTTCCTCCACTCTTGTGTTTTTACATTTAAGTGTGTCACCACAGGATGACCATTGGAAGCATTTTCCTTCCTTTCGCTCTCATCCGTATCACCCATTTGGCTTTCCCTCCAATTCTCATTAGGCTAAATGTCTGTGCTTCTGCCAGACTTCTGTTGGGCAGTCTTATTAATTACTTGGCCCAGGAACTAGAGGAAAATGATGGGTGCTGTCTAGGGGAAGCTACCTAATAATTTTGACTACAGTAACTCCCTTTTCACATATCTCAGCATATGATGTATAAATGAGGTTTAATACATATGATTTTATTCTTTTCCTGCTAAATTTTCCTTTCTAATTAAAAAAAAAAAAAAAAAAAACCCTGCTGTTTCAAGTAACTAGTGTCAAACTCTTGAAGGTTGTCCATTTTCCTTGCATCTCTCCCTTTCCTACCAGCAGGAATTAAGCACTCTTGTGGGCACTACATTGACTTTTCAAAGACCCTTCTCTGACTACTCACTTGCTCTCCCTCCCTCTCCACACCAACCCTTATACCCTCTTCATTTTCCCAATGCTATATTTATTTTTTTTCTTGAAGTCATCCTTTTTCTTTCTTTCTTTCTTTCCTTCTTTTCTTTCTTTCTTTCTTTCTTTCTTTCTTTCTTTCTTTCTCTTTCTTTCTTTCTTTCTTTCTTTCTTTCTTTCTTTCTTTCTTTCTTTCTTTCTTTCTTTCTTTCTCTTTCCTTCCTTCCTTCCTTCCTTCCTTCCTTCCTTCCTTCCTTCCTTCTTTCTTTCTTTCTTTCTTTCTTTCTTTCTTTCTCTTTCCTTCCTTCCTTCCTTCCTTCCTTCCTTCCTTCCTTCCTCCTTCCTTCCTTCCTTTCTTTCTTTCT